TGCACAGTTCCTAAAAACACAAAGAAATAATTGAAAGTGGTCTTTGTGAGATTGCACTAATTATTTGTAATGTACTGACTGACAGATGGAAGGAAATTAATGTATTAGTCTAACAATTAACTGCTGTACATTTTATTTTCCTTCTGATGTTGTACTGGTTTGTGTGTTTGTCAAATATCGGAAAAAAACGTGTTGTTTGTGCATGTTTGTCTGTTACAAGATTTAACAAGTTTGCTGCCATAAAAAGAGTAGAGTGAAAAGATTGACTTCATGTTGTCAGTATACAGAGGTTGTATAGCAGGTACAGGCCATATTTAGGCTTGGAAATGGAGAAAAAGCTAACCAAAAGACAACACTTTCCAACAGGTCCAAAATTGTCTTCTTACATGATGCATCTTGCAAGCTAGTCAAAACTACAACACTACTACTACTAACAATAAAGAATTACCTGAGTTTTTGTATCGGCATCTTCACAAGATGGACAGGACTTCTGAGATGCTGCATGAGGTTACAAGGCCTATCTGTTGTCTATCTATTGTCAGTAATTAACTAAACACGTCACAGAGACACTCCTGCAAGGGATGCACAGAACGCTCGTCTAATTCTCACAAAGAAAGCAAATACGTGCATATCCCAAAGTGTTGGTGTATATTCTAAAATGAAGCATTGCACAGCTGATAAAGTTTACTTTCAGTCACTTCATTATGTGGAGTGGTGGGGAGCTCACACAGACAAACACACACACACCCACACCTGCAAGCACTGCGGAGGTGAGGGGTTCCACAGTGTGAATAACTTAACTCTGTTCCACAGCAAATGTAACAAAATTGCTTCACAAACATGAATATGTATGCACACACACACACACACACACACTACAACATCACACAGTCAAATACAATGTAAGTTAACCTTTAGAAGCCAACAGTAGCCCGCTAGCTATTAGACCTTTTAAACAAGGTACCTTGCAGCACACACATACACACACAAACACGACGCATGCACACACACTAAATGACAGAAATGTTCCAAAGTAGGACTCTTGTTCTTTGTTTTTCTCATACACACAAGCACACACCACAAACACAACACTCTCTCATAATACATGGCTCACACACACCACACACACACACACACACACACACACACACACACACACACACACACGTACAACCTCCTCCAGTAAACACATTTATGAGGTGAATCAGGGGACCAGGGGACCTGATGCAGCGTAACTGCGTGTGAGTGTGTGTGTATAAATGTTATACTCTGGTCCCCCACCATGACAGCATCCCATTAGCTGAGCCAATCAGCAGTGTAACCTGGTTTCCTAGGTTACGGCCTTCTTAGTCACTCCCAGTAGACAAACATTGAGGATGGTGTTGGTTGTGAAACCTCACTCTGTCTCTCAGTGTGCAGACAAATAGTGAATTTCCCAAACTTCAGTATACAAAAGCATGAAAAAAATGCCTTGTTGTCATTTCATTCTGTAGAGTCAACCACAACGTAACATAATTATAAGTACCAACAGCTAACAATAACCTGGTGTATCATGGAAAGCCTTTGGGCTTTCCTGTAACTGTATGTGCCAGCGATACACTGATTGCTGTGTCTACAATACACTGCCAGAATTCAAGAAATAGAAGAAGAGGAAGAAGTGAAGGCAGGTCCAGAACATCATCATTAAACAGTAGCTTAACACCGGGTTGAAAAGCAGTGTTTCACTGCTCTCTCTGGTTAAAGGTTTCAAGCCTGTTTTGCTTTTTTGCCAACCATCAGTGAAGCTGGCTTTGCTCAGAAGTGCGCTCTTTTATACCTGTAACCACACCCAACTATGATTCACAGAGTCCTGATGTACACCTGTACATCAATGCAGCAAGGTAAGAAGTGAAAACACTGGAGAGCAGAAAAAACAAGATTTTCTGGGGGTGTTAATTTACTCTTTAATCTTAAATCTGTTCTGTTCTGTTCCAATTACATCCAGATTGTTATGCATTAGTCTGTACATGAGATGCACTGTGTTTATCTGCTTTACTCACCCTCAGGTCTGTACTGTGCTACTATGGTAACGGTCTGTCCTGCATTCTTCAGAGCAGCGGCTGCCTGCTCATGTGTTGCAGTGGAGAGGTCCACCCCGTTCACCTACACACAGACACACAGAATTAGAGCTCATGCCTTGGATCAATAATAATTACTATATAGTGAGAAGAACACATCATCTTAGTGGGTCAATAAGTCACAGGTGACCAGCCACATGTATGTGTGTATGTGTAGTATGTGTGTACTTTGTGAAGGCTTGTTTAATACATAAAATCATTTCCCGTCAGTACTTGATCGTAATATGGTCACAGCCAGTCTGAAGGGATTATCAGTGCCTCTACAGTCTGATGACTAAATCCTGTTTGGATTCTGTCTGAAGAAAATTAAAGCCATATTTCACTTTAGTGGAACACAAAATACAGCTTGAACAGACACACACACACACAACCTATCAGCCATAAGTGGCAACTGACTCACTGGTGATGTGCAAAGAAAACGATGTCAGTGAAATGTCTCCTTAAATTCAGTATGAATGCAAAGATGCATCAGATCAAGTTTAAACTATTCAGCGTCAGAAAATATTATTACTGCTTTGTTTATTCTGACTTGTATAACTCCATATCAAGAGAAAAACGCAGGAAGTCGAGGTTCTGGTAATAAACTGACAGGATGACTCCTTTGATATTCCTATAAAACCTATAATATATAATCTATAAATAATATAATAATAGTAATGGTGACAGTGCTTGTGTTTGTGTGTATATCTGTGTGTAATGTTTGTAATAGGTCTTAGCTCATACCGACAGGATGCGGTCTCCTTTTCGTAGCTCTCCGCAGAGATCAGCTGGACCTCCAGCAAGAATGAAGGAGATGAAGATCCCTTCTCCATCCTCCCCTCCAACAATGTTAAAACCAAGACCCGTGGACCCCCGCTGGAGCACCACCCGCCTGGGTTCCCTGGAGGAAACACAAATTAAACACACACACCGTGTAAGGGTAAAAGAGGATGGGATCCAACCTTCTAGCACAAATTAGTACATAATTATAGTTTTTGTATCGGTTTTGTAGGCCTCTTATTGGATGATGATTAACCACAGACTAAGAAGCAGTGAATCAATGAGAAGAGATAACAAGAGGAAGACAGGATATTATTCAATATGTTCGACTTAACATAACATGACTATAAAAGAAAACACTTTCGTACAATATTGCAGCTGTGTTTAGCAGTTACTGTAGTGTATATATATGGTTTCTGAATGTACAGTATAATATCTGTGCAGTTTTTGTGGTGATAAATGTTACAGTGGGACAAAAGGATTTAAAAAAAAGGATCATTCACCCTGATGACCAGCAGATGTCAGTATTACACCACTGTCTGTTTTAATGCACCACTACAGTTAGTTACTCTATCCTAAACACAAATGTCTATACATATACATGGTTCAGTTCTTTACTAAATCAGTAGAACATTACTGTCTTTACACTGTGGGCATAAACATGAGCATGTGCAAGACATCCAAGTCAACACAGGCAACACATATTTAAGATAGAAATGAAAGCAGGTCCATCGTATCGTGATCAAAATACTGGATCATCATGTCATCCTCACTTAAAATATTGTATGAAAACATCTGTGCAGAGACAGAATAAGTGTTGTATAAATGAGTGTTCCAGCCAATCCACACACTGTATATGAGAAATTTGTATTTGATCCCTCTTTAGCCTTTCTGACTGAAATGGTTCTAACAGAGATGCACTGGTCCAAAACTGCTGGATCAGTTTCCAGACATGACAAATCCACATCAAACACAGTCTCTTTCTGTGTTTCATTTACATTTTTACAGTGAGCTTGCGACTACGTTTTTAATGCCACAATGATAATTTGTCTGCAGTGTGGAACAGTATACAGATATTACATTTGGGAATATGAGAGCACTGGTAATTGTTTTCGATAGATAGCCTGAAAAAGGTAAATCTATCGTTCTACAGCACAAATAAATAAAAGATCACTTCTCCCAACTGAAATCACCTGATGAGAGAGAAAGCAGATGTTCTTCAAATTGTGCACATGGAGTACATATTTATTAAAACCCATAATCCTCTATTTGCATGAGAAACTAATCAGAGAGAGAAAGGAGAAAGAGATGAAAGAGAGAATAAAAGAGAGATACAAACACAGAGGGGAAAAAAGGGGGGCAGACGTCAGAATGACCATTCTGCAGTCAGTCTGAGGCTTATCAGATTTATTGTAATCAAAGTGCTCTGATTGGCCCAAAGGGCTATGACGAAATGAGTCATATTCTGGTAACCACGGTGACGCCAGTTGAGTGACGAGGGCCGTGATAGGCTGTAATCCGTCCATTAAAATGGATTAAAGACAGTAGAGCAGCACTGAGAGTGTATCTACAAAATTTGCACTGCCATCTGCCTTTTACTGCCACTCTGTCTCTCTCACACACTCACACACCCACCCACACACACACACACACACACCAGCCCACACACACACACCAACCCACACACGCACATACAGCAGCAGGGGGAGCAGGTGGGGACACAGGTCACTCAGTGTATTTTGGGCTCTCTAGGACTCTGTTTTCAATCTCGTGTTGTGGACCTCTTTGAGGGCCACTTAAGACCTCAGAGGGGGACATGACACAAGCAATAAAGGTTAAGAGACAGAAGAAGAGAAAATTGACACTTGACCCTGTAACCATCTTAATCATTGTTTTTTTTAGCTAGTGAAGCTCATCAGCAGCAATAGAATTTCATCAGTGTTGATGAATTTGTGTGACATGCGTGACATTTAAACAAAATGCTACTGACGCCTGAAAGGTGTCAGACTGTCACAGAAAGCTGCTGTTACTGCATTAGAGTTGGATGTACAGCAGATGATACAATTAACTACCTCAGTTCAAAAAGGGGGCCAATTCATGAAAATACATTTCCTGTTTAGTAATAACATGAAAACAATAGGACACACAACACTAACTTCTTAAACCCAGATTAGAATAAAAATAATATTTTCAAAACCTCACTGCAATGTCACATATTTATTTTCTATCTGCTTGTTCCACCTCCTTTTCTGAAACTACAGTATTTGGTGTTTGTATTGAGTGATATTCTTATTATATCCTGTAACGTCTAAATGGAAACAATATCTAGATATGGAGTAATAGTACAAGTTTTAATACACGTGTATTCCCTATATATATGTTGTTCAACCTTACATATTTGGTAAACTTTGGAAACCCTGAATGGAAAAATAATTACATACTGAATATTGTTGGTCGTGTTTTATTTGGACACACGGGTTAGTTAGGGTTAGGGTGGGTGTATGAGGTCTCACCTGGTGATGTCGTCTTCTCCAGTCATGGCCCTGGGCAGCGGTGAGTATCTGGGCGTGGTCAACGGGGCGGGGCTTACAGACTGGCTGCCACTCATGTAGGGGCTTATATGGTTGTCTTGATGTGGGGAGTACGCTGGAAGAGCACACACATACATGTATATCTAATTTTACCATACTGCCATACAAATATCACTTAATTGACGTCTTTTTAAAGCAAGAATGTGAATTTTCATGTACTTTTAGTTTAACAATTTCTAACATCGTCTTATTAAAGAGTATATTTCATATATCATCATATATCAATCCCTGCTCATTTTTAGTCAGTCAGTCCAAGCTGTTGATGCACCGTATATAATGAGAGATATGTTGAGAGATGGTGGTGTGATATATGCTGTTTGGTAACGTGTTATATTCAAAGCAGTGATAAATGACGTTGTTTGAGAATATGCTGATTTGGAGAGGTGACAAGTGGCTGTAATCCAGTGGACCAAATTTACCCAGACTGATCATAAGACTCTTATATAACACATTTAAACTGTCTGGTTGATGTCATCGTTCTATCTTTTAAACCATAACATATAATGTTTCTAACCAACTTAAACTGGTTTGAAAGCACTGAAAGTATTTGGTTTTATCACAATGGACACTATTCTAGCCTTATCTAGCATGTTTAAGATATTGCATTGAGCTCTTCAACTGTTGTTCACAGCATCCTCAATTCAGACTCTTTCAGGCAACTTCGGGGTCGTCATGTTTATAGTGTCAACCAGTAGTACAAATGTGTTGTCTAATTTGAGTGGAGTAATAAATCTTTATGGCTCTACATACCATGAGCGCAAACACAAAACAGACCCGTGTGGTATTCAGCCCTGATGTGGGAATCTAGGTCTATTAACCACTTCACTGTAATAAAGTAATAAATGATTTCACAGGAAATTTGACACCTTTTACCCTCAGTGATATGCTGATGATGACTTATATATATTGTTGTCATATATATATAT